CCCCCCCGTCTTTGGACGCGCATCGAAACGCTGATGCACTGACCGCATCTTCCTCGTGCACCCGTAGTTTGACAGCTACGACCCGGAAAGAATCCATTCGGACCCGGGGGTGAGGCGGGATCTGTGGGATGAAGAGAGAAGACCATTGAATCAGGTCAAGATCACCGATTTCCTGGGCGGCGTCAGTCAAGTGGAAGTCACGCCTGCGCCAGGAAGCGATGCGTGGGAAGAGGAGCCCCTCATGTGACGCGATGCAGAGCTTCCTTTCATGACTATGGATTTGTTGGCAGTCATAATGATTCGAGATTGTGGCCGCAGCGCACGAGGTGGAGGCCTCGATCACTGAGTGACGAGCAGTCTTGACATTTTGACACGAATGCGCCGGCGAGCGAAATGAAGCAGGCGTGACCCTGATTCGAGTCAAAGTGAAGTTGAATGCATGAGTCACGCAGTCACGCGTAGCTGTACTCGGGATTTAGCAACCTTGAAGAGGCACGGAGGGGAAGAAGTGTGGACCATGTTGTATGATGAGTCACGAGTATTCATCATACGAACGTGAACGGTCCATGCATGCGCAGCTGTGCCCCGAACCCGTGGCGTACTGTGCTTGTTCTATACATGATTTACAGGGAAGGGCTCTTGCTGAGAATCCTGTGCAAACTCAAAATTGTGGAAATTGGGTGGGCAGCCCGCCGTCACGAGTGTCGAGTCGCGAGTCACTGAGTGCGGTAGATTGCCGCACGCATGCGCAAGGTCGGCCGGCAGTCAGAGTGTGAGTCACGAGTCATATAAGTAGTCTTGAGTCGGCACCGAGAGCGCATCGATTTAAGCCGGCGAAATCGATCACGCGGCTAAATTCGCCTAAGCTTGGAGGCGTGAGCTGGGATGCAATGCGATGCGATGGCAGCAGCACCGCCTCTCGGTCGTTTGCGAGAAGGCAGGCAGGCAGGCAGGCAGGCAGGCAATCGTCCTAGCTGCTCTGCCGGCGGCATTTCTTTGCTCGCACGGCATGGCTTGCGCCGCAATCTGATTTCGCCCTCAACCTCATCCGAATTTAAGCGACGCGATCGAGCCGTCTGACAGCAGCTGGGAAGCGGCGCGTCTAGCTTAATTGGGCTCTTCTTCCCGTCGTTGCGTCTCATCATAAGCGGCGTGACACGCGCAGCACGCCAAGCCTTGGACAGCATCCACCAGTACCGCAAAGATACTCGAGACGAGCATCGCAAATTTGGCCGGCCGTTTGCGCAGGTGCGCTTGCTGGCTCCACCTCGCAGCCATCTCTCATACTCTCATAGCACCCGACACGCCCACCTACCCTTTCACGGCCCTACATTCACTTCCATCTGACTCGAGAGCTAGCGTCACTCGCCTAGGGGCCGGCCTGCTCGCTGGTCGTCCTGTAGCGAGACCAGTGAAGGCATAGACCGCCTCATCATCATTCGATCGAGACTGCAGTGTTCGACTGCTCGACTGCTCGACTGTTCGACTCTTCGACTGCTCGACTGCTCGACTGTTCGACTGACAAGCAGATGGCATCAGCATCGGACCTGCCCGCTTTGGGCCTGGAGGCAGCTTCACCGCCCTTTACGCTGAGCAGAGCCTCAAAGGATGTGTTGTTTGGCTCAGTGAGTGCAGCGCAGCGCAGTGCAGCACAGTGCGAGGCCAGAGCGTAGCAGGCGCAGACAGGTCTGGGATTCAGAAGCTCCCGCTGATGCCGCGTCTGTATCCACTTGCTGACGTTTAGATGGCCGGCATGGCAGCAAAATTCTTTGAGCACCCTTTGTGAGCTGCCAGGGAGGAAAGAGAGGCGAAGCGCCCTTGAGCTGAGATGAGATGAGGTGTGGTGTGGTGTGGTGTGGTGTGCTGTGCTGTGCTGAGTCAATCGTCTCCCTGCCTATTCCCCCTCCTCGCCGTCCAGCGATCTGGTGAAGGTGCGGCTGCAAACCGCATCAGATTCATATGCTGGAGCTGGAGATTGCGCGAGGCAGACGTGGGCCAAGGAAGGATTGAGGGGTCTGTACAGGGTGAGGTCATGATGTGGTCTGCGCCTCTGTGCCTCTGAAACATGCGTGGGCGCGTTTCCCGCGCATTTCATTGCTGGTGCTGGTGCTGGTGCTGGTGCTGGTGCTGGTGCTGGTGCTGACCATCACCTGCCCACCTGCCCCTGCCCCTGCCCCTGCCCATGCCCGCGCTTGCTGCCTATGCTTGGCACATCACACATCCATGCAGGGCATCTCCATGCCCCTCCTGGGCGCAAGCTTTGGTGCGTCTCCCGAATTCGCCTCGTGGCCATTCCAGCGTAGGGAGTTATCTGACGCCGATTTGCAATCTCAACGAAATTAGAGAATGCTACGCTCTTCGTGACGTACAACTCGACGCAAAGCCTCATCAGGTATCTCTCGGGCCAGTCAGATGCTTCGACATCCGCCGCCGGCACAACCCTGCCTCCTCTCTCCATGTTCCAGCTGGGCATCGCAGCGGCAGCAGCTGGAGCAGCCACGTCTTACGTGCTCACCCCCATCGAACTCATCAAGTGTCGAATGCAGGTCCAGATGATTGCAAAGGAGCAAGCCGCGCTCACCACGACCAGCGCATCAGGCGGTCCTGCTTCTGCTTCTGCTTCTGCTTCTGCTGCTATCCGATCTTTGCCGGGACCCGTGACGCTGGCACGCCAAGTCATTGCAAGCGAAGGCATCACTGGCTTGTGGCTGGGTCAGACGGGCACTCTGCTCAGGGAGACTGGCGGTGGCATCGCCTGGTTTTTGGCCTTCGAAGCGACCTGCAGGGAGTTCTTGGCGCGGCGAAGCAGGACGAACCGGCCGGATCAAAAGTCAGACTTGTCTTCCCTCGAGCTCGTCACTGCTGGGGCGGCAGCTGGCATCGGCTACAACGTGATTCTGTTTCCTGCAGATTGCATCAAGAGCACCATACAGACGGAAAAGGAGCTCAAACCTAACCAGCCGATCGCAGGCTTCCTGGAGACTGGAACGAGGATATACAGACAGCGAGGCATCAGGGGTTTGTACGCTGGTTGTGGAATCACGTGCCTGAGAAGCGCGCCCAGCAGCGGTGAGTCACACGGCTTTGGCTCGATGCAGCTCAGAGGCGCAGCGTTGAGCGCAAGGCAACGCCGGGGGCCAAAAAGCTGATGCCAAGAGTCCCGATGCTTTGACGCGACGATCTACGTGGTGTGCTCAGCTCTCATCTTGTGAGTCTTGGAGCGCGACTCAGCTTTGACGGCGGCCAGAGTTGTTGTCGATGCAATGTAGCGCGCTGACCGCTGTGATCGCTCGGCTTTTCTCACAGCTTACTGTACAGCAAACTAGAACAATTGGCTGACCGTCACGGCATATAGAGTAGAGTGCAAAATAATACCGAGTGAATGATACTTGAAGACAATCAGATGGCGAGGTTTCAGCGGCGGCCTCAGAGTGCCGTTGCGCTACAATTGACAGTCATTGTCCTGGAGCAGCGACGGGAGAGACTCTTGGACTTGTCGCAGTGAAATGTGAATGGTATACGCTTGACTCCCTACTACTGCTAGGTCTTGGGCGATTGTGAATCGAAACGCGAGTGAATAATCGTGAATGATAATTTGGAACTTGATTCAAATTTCCATGCATAGCGTGGATGGATGAGTGTGCACGTGACATGCCTCCACATCGCGCCCGAGATCGTCGCGACCATCGCGCGCGGACGGGCAGCTTTGGTGCACGCATCACGAACTCTTAACAAAGACTCGAGACTGACTAACCACTGTGCGCGCACCTAGGTCACCTCCCGAAGTCCCACCCCACATACCATCACATCGAAGAAAAATTTTCGAAGTCGGGTTGAGCAGTATCAGCAGTCACAGCGCTTTGTCAAGTCAGCTAGATCCCACCAAACATGTCCCGCGGCATCGTTCAAGCCAGTCGTGCTGTCCGCTTTGGCGGTGCGCTTCGACCCACCCCCGTCGTCCTCAAGCAATCCAATCCCGTGCCCAGCGTGGGAATTCCTGGACCCACATTCAGCGACCGTACCAGTCCAGCCGCACCTCCTGGTCAAGCACCTACCCATCCTGGCTACACCCACGAGAGCACTCCCATCACCAGCGCTCATCCTCGAGACATTCCAGGGGTGGATGGAGCAGCCCCTGCTTCGTGAGTCGAGCCTGACATGAGATGCGCCTTGCAGAATTTGACGTCACTGAGTGATCACGCGCTCACACATCGCCACATGCCCCTTTTTCTTGGCAATCAGTCGAGTGCCCGGAGCGAGCACTGTTGCTGGCCAGCCTCACGTCGAGGTGCACACGTTGGCCGAAGGTGCTAAGATGTGAGTGACTCTTGCAATCCTCGTCAAGATCAGCCTGCCTCGAGGGACAGCTGCGATGCACGTTCTTGTGATCGGCAGAGCTGCAGTGCCTTGCTGGGAGCATCTGCTTGGCATCCCTTCGCGTTGGCAGCTTCCAAGGGACTTTTGAAGCTCAGCTGATGGTCGTACCTGCTCTGTCTTCTTACATCTTGAAGTGGAGGATCGGACGCCATTCGACCAGAGGAGCGCAACGTAAAAAATTGGGGTCCCAACCAACGCACACCAGAGTTCAATGAACTAGGTGCGTGCAATGTCTAGTGCGGCTGCTTCTGAGCTGCGAGCGCTGACAGTCCAGAGTGCCTGTCTGCTCCTCAGAGGGTAAAAGACGCCCTGTACTCGATGGAGGATCCAACGAAGGCGGTCTTGGACCTGATGGCAAGAGCAGAACGTGAGCATCATCTTCGCCCTCCTGTCCGTTGCAGCGCTACCTGAAGACCCTTTGAGACCCGAACACCGTCTATGCATCTGTACGGACTAGAACTCGCAAATGCAATGTGATCATCGCTTGTCTTAGTTTGTCCTCCTGTCTGACTGCCATTGTTTCAATCCGCTGCGGGCAGGTTCTCGACGATTGCATGCCTTCAAGAAGCCAAACCGGGGTCAACAAGTGCAAATGAGAATCGTGCCGCGTCAACTACGAGAGTATCTGGGGTAGCACCGCAAACTTCGACACCTTCCAGACCTGCTAGGCGAAGTCGCTTTCCTCCTAGCAAAGAGGGCGCTGCCTCTTTGCCCACGTTGGAGCACTTTCTCATGCAGAATCGTTTTGCAGCCTTGTATCGAAGCTTCATACGAGCTACGCGCAACATACCCAATCCCGACGCGCGCCGAGAAATGATAGACTGGATCAGGGGCGACTTGGAGCCGGCGAGAAGGGTCACAGATCTGGTGAGCATGCATGCTTTCGGGCTGGTGTAAGCGTACAGCGCGACCTGATGCCATGCTGACTGGACGTCTCGGCTTGTGCTTGCACTGCTTAGGTAAACTTGAAAGACCGCTTGATGCTGGGCCACGTCCAGCTGAAACGCCTTCAGGGTCCAGTCGAACTTGTCTCTGCTTCGGACGTAGGTGGACCAGCCTTTGGCAGCTTCACGCCCTTCAGGAGGAGCGGGGACACGAGCAGATCAGCCAACTCGCTCGACACCTCCGCTTCATGAGCCCTCATGCCCCGCACGCATCTGCCGACCAAATGGGACTTGGTTCGAATCTGTCCCTGCACAGGACAAGGATAAAACCAAGTTGTCACCGTTCATGTGTCTCTGCTCATACATTCAAGCGCGTGTGGACATTCTACATTTGTCGCGGGGGCAGAAGAGGGATAGCACCTGCAATGAGACGCAGACTGCAATCGTGGGACGTTTGTTGCTTGGGTTCACATCGACGTATCGGAAATGAAGACACCTGCGAATTGTGCAGTCGACAGTAAGCATTCTTTGAGCTGGGAGCATAGGTGCGGAAGGCTTCAGAAAACCCCAGCCCTATGACGCTGGTTGCTGATCACACTCAAGTGCATCCTCGAGCAATTGAAGGAGTCCGACTAAAGCCAAGGGGCCAGACAAAGGTGGAAATGTGGCGACCGATCCTCAAAGTCATGAACGCCAGCATATTTGCAGCTCTTGCTTTGGAAGATCACTAATTCCCTCATGGAAGCAGCTCGAAGTGGCGCAGTCAACTTGCAAACGATAATCGGCGAGCAACAACGAGGAGCAGGAGCTGGAGCTGGCTTTTGTTGCAAATTGCAACTCTTAAAGCAGTGATGTCGAACAAAGCGCATCTGCACAAGCTTCGCATGACGCAATCCACATTGACGTCGAAGGGGTTCTGGTCCAGACCCAGCATCTCACTTTGATTGCATGTCATCAGAAGTCGCGCAGAGTACATGCTTGTGCTTGTGTTCCTCTGCACGAAGACATCAGCTAACGAGAGGTGTCGCAAGAACAGAAAAGGTGTCAGAGAGCTTGAACTGCGCACATTGACGGTGACCTTGTCCGTCCAAGCATTGATGGTGGCTCGTGCTGCATGCCAGAATTTGATGTGAAGATCTAAGACATTGGTGAACTTGATGCACATTGGCGGTGGCAGGTCAAGAGGGGGCAGAGTGAAAAAGTGGTTGACAAAGTCCACTACATCAAGGATTTCAGCCAATGAAGGGGGAGTGGGGGGGGGGGGGGGGGGGGGGGGGGGGGG